TCCGACTAGAGTCGAAGCAAGATCTTCAGTCAGTAAGGAAAGACTATATTGCAGTAACCAACTGTACCTAGAGTCGAAGCAAGACTACAAAGGTTAAGTAAGTAACTACAAGTTAGAGGTAAAGGTAATGAAGTACTCACTCTTCAGTCAGTAAGGAAAGACTGAAGAGGGAGGACGCAATCTGAAGTCCTTATATACTACAGAGAAGTGTCCATGACTAATCGAAGAGTGGTTAGTCACATGTACCATAGTGCGATGAATAATACGATGGTGAAAGAATTGCGACGTATCGCACCATAGGATGAGTAAGAGATGAGTAAGGCATAGACCTGTCTAGACCGTTCTGGAGTAGTACGGATTGTCCTAGACAGTAACAGGAGAGTCCGGAATCATAGCTATAGTACACGAGCAGAGAGTCCCAAATATGGTAACATACTACATAAGCGACTACAGCTAAGCGCTAGGAGACGCATAGCCTCGTGTAGTCCGGACCGGATAAGTCCAAGCTCAACATTCTCCCCCGCCAAAATCTGGCCCTTCACGCTGTGAAGGACTCAACGGGACACAGTAGGCCGTCCCAGTGCGATGTCAGTAGCCCAGTTTATTGAGTACGAGTATAGCTGCACTGCCGTCCCAAGTACATCGTGGGTTTCGCGCGCCTCATGGACCTCCGCTTTCGAAGATCTGCGCAGCACTTGTGGCCACATGCTGCACAGCTTGTGACTCACAACGCGCGATTACAAGCCCAGAGACGTGCGGAGCGCCGTAAATGCGCGGTGTGCTCGAACTTTGGAAGTTTCTCTTTGTATACCTGTGCGTTATCTTGGCGTCCACTGAGAAATCGATATGCCAGCTGCCCTTCTAAGCGCCATACGTCTCAACGAAGATGACGTGCACAAGGTCCAGGTGAGCAGCAGACAGTGTCCAAGTCTTTCCTGAGCGTTGAGAAGCTACTATTACTACCCAGTGCGCGGACACCATGTAATGCCCCGAGTCCGTGCCCGATTTCTACCCTACTAAACCTACCGGCTCGACCACATCCTCGCTCAGAATCCGAGACGAAGTCGCCCAAGTTGTCCAACGTACGCAGCATACCCCATTTCCCGTGACGCCTTGCTCATCCTTTCGCATACAGCATGCCCCTGCGACTACTTCACACGAGGACACTGAAGTTCCAAGAGTTCCACAATCCCCACTCCGTCGATTACGCTATACTCTCTCATGTCTGGGACAAGGGCGGCGAGCAATCGTACCAGGAGGTCCTGGACGCCATTCGTCAGGAGCACACGTCGTCAGGCAGCAGCACCGACTCTAGGATCTGCGAGAAGATCAGGCGCTTCTGTGAGCGTGCCGCCGAGGACGGGTACGAGTGGGCATGGATCGACTCCTGCTGCATCGACCAGTCGAGCAGCTCCGAGGTCTCCGAGTCCATCAACTCGATGTACAACTTGTACCGCCATGCTTCCCAGTGCTATGTCTTCCTCCGCGACGTTGACGACGATGACGACCCTCGTCAGAGGGCGTCTCAGTTCCGCCGCTCTGAGTGGTTCAGGCGCGGGTGGACGCTTCAGGAGCTCATAGCACCCGCCGTTCTTGTGTTTCTCAGCAAAACTTGGACGCCGGTCGGCACGAAGGATAGCCTTGCTAGGGTGGTACAGCAGATCACCAAGATCGACGCTGGTGTTCTGAAAGGCTATGTTCCCCTTGCGACGATTCCTGTCGGCGTCCGCATGTCGTGGGCTGCGAATCGAGACACGACTCGCGAGGAGGACAAAGCGTACTCTCTCTTAGGTATCTTCGGTATCCACATGACACCAATATATGGCGAGGGCCACCGGGCCTTCGTCAGGTTGCAGCGCGCAATCCTCGAGCACATCCCCGATGACACACTATTGGGCTGGGGACGTACGCTCTACCTCAATACCCCTGCCGACTTCGGACTTCTCAGCTCAGATCACACATCTGCGAATCACGAACTGGGGTTCTATGCTCCTAGTCCACAACTATTCAAGTCCACAAGCGACTTAAAGCCTATACCTCAGTCGGCGCTTATCATGCTCCTGGGTCTTTCTTCAGAAAGCCCGTACCCTACGATTTACGCGAACACTCGTCACGGGGTGTCGGCACACCTTCCATTGCTCTATGTCCGCCATGAGGACCACCCCATAGACATCACACTGGGTTTCCTTCCGTGTCTTGACTCCAGGAACCGTCTCCTCGCTGTAATCCTGCGACGCAGTGCCAGTGACCCGAACCAACTGGTCGTGGGTTCGTACACCTCTCAGAATCCCGGGGTAGAGCGCTACTTCCGCACAGTTCGGATCGACTACGCGGCGCTGAAGTTCTGGATGATGTACACCAACTCCTCTCCTCGCGTTGAATCGTTGTACATTCTGCCCCACGACCCTCTCTATAGGTCGGATCCTCGTTCAGACATTGGAAGACACCCTGCCCCGCATCGCGGGAAGTGCGGCATCATCGTACCGAGCTGGCGCAAAGCGTCCTTAGCCAAGCAGGGCATCGTCGTCCAGCAAACCGCCATCGACGACTCGTCGCTGCATCCGGAATGGTGTTCGCGGCGGCATATCATCGTCCTGTCTCGAGCAGGCATGGGTGCAGTGAGGATCATACTCGGATTCTGCGAGCACTGCAAGCCATCCGAGATCGCAGAGCCACACGACTTCAAGGTGTGGCCAGGTTTCCGCTTACAGCTGCAGAGCTGCCCGGACCCGTATGATCCAGCCTCACTTGAGCATGATGCCACGATAGGTTCCTGTCGCTTTAGTCCGCACCCTTCAGGGAAGACGGACGACGGGACACATGTTCACCTCTGGCCTTCCGGGCACAGCGGCGAGTCTGTCATGGAGTTCACGCTAGCCGATCAGAGCATGCGTCTGAGCCTTACCTTTCGTGAAGACAAGGCCTTGTGCTCACAGTGGACGTCGATTTCAGAGAGAATGGATTCCCGACGACTCCTACGAATAGCTTCGTCGACAGTATCGACGAACCCGCGCAGAAGCGGGAGCGCGACGGTGAGGGAGATTCTGACGTATCACGTCACTTGTGCGCATACTGATGATACTCGTCTGGTTACGTTCATGAAGGGGCCGATCGCTGGTCCATGTTGTCCTCATCGAGCGTAGGCCTTCGCAAGCTTGGTGCCGAGCATGACCCATGGCTCGAGAACGACATTGAGGATGATTCGTGGAATGAAAGGGAGGCTATATGGCGATGCAGCGTGTCCAGCCTACCGATTGCTACCAACCGCCGGCAGGAGGAGGCTATCAGGGCCACCGCTGATCAATGGTACCAGCAGGAGTGGTACCGCTGGGGGAGGTCGTAGGCCCTTGACCCATGAATATGTCTATTGCGATTGTATCTGAAGCTTTTCACGCCTTTGTGCTCATGATTGCTAGTTACTCAGCGACTCTGATTGTTCTAGCATATGCCCGCAATGATGTATTGTATGCTGATTGATACCAGAGTAGGCACATTATACATAGCTGCCAGTATCCCCTCCCGCCATTTCAGGAAGGTTTAGTCATCGTCTTGGGATAGAGGCATTTCATCTGGGACGGCGTTCGAAACGCACGACTGCGTCCCGGGAGGGGATGACCGAGAAGCTGAGGTTGATGTTGGCAGGTCTGCCCGCATCGTTCAGATGTCATGTCGTAGCGGAAGTGGCGGCACGTGATGCTTTGGTTGCGGGAATGCGACGCGTCCGAGAGTCCAACGTGTGCAGACGCCGCCACCATGACTCTCCTTCGCGACAGCATGCACCGACGCCTCCCCCAGCTATAATCCATCGCAAGTATCTTGTCGTCTCGAACGCTGTGTAGACTTCTCACACAAGGTCTACTGGACAGCATGTCCGAGCCAGACGAATACGACGCGTACTTTGTTCCCCTCAATCTCAACGACGAGGACTTAGACGCCATAGACGCTGCCGAATCGAGGGCACGGCCTCACAGCAATTCAACGACACAGGACGACTTATCACACACTCCGCCGTCCCCAGATGAATTCGACGCGTACGATCTGTCTGAGTTTTCCGCCGCGGACTTGGCAGAGATCGACGAGCTCGTCGACCGACTGCATGGTCACTCGCCGCTGCCTCCGATACGTGAGGTGCATGACGAGCACGAGCGGCCGTCCGCCTCTGGAAGCGGGAGTCCACGGGACAGAAGCAGTCCTAGAAGAGGGGGCGGAGACGTCCCGAATGGAGGTCCTGCCATTGAAATTGCCCTGGAGAGCGCTGGGAAGGCTGACCCCTCTCGTCGTCTGAAGGACTCGTGGATCAAGCACACAAAGCGCAGCCCATATGAACAGTTCCGGAAGTGGAATCGACTCCTGACGGTGACCGACATCGCTGGCCCTTCTTGGCGAGTGCTCGCTTTCTCATAGTTCAACGTGACGTCACTCGAAGCTCATATGCTGTCCCATAGGTGTGAAGTCCAGTTCGACTACGGTCTGCGCCAACGACGAAATAGGAAGCTCTCAGATCGACCGGCGTCCTTCACGACCGCGGAAGGGAAGACCATTACAGTGGCACACCAAGTCGCTGTAGCTAATAACCTGACTGTGACCCGTGGAAGAGTCAGCTCCAAAGTTTTTGTTGCCTACAGCTGTGTCTCACACGACTAGCAGTCCGTACACAAGGTCCTCGAACGGGAAATTCAGCAGGAGCCAGTACAGATTGAGATCAAGACTAACGAGGAACGATGGGCGTTACGGTACTCTCAGACTCGCCGTACAATCTGGCAACTCGCTGACGAGCGCGATTCTGTAGTATCGTTAACATGCTAACTGCCGTGCAAACCCTAATGGGACTAGGTAAATGTGTGAGTACCTCTATTGTTTAGTTGAGGCGTTCGTCGCTCATCTTCCTCAGCGAGAGATGCCGGTCTTCGGCTTCGTGCACGGCCAGATTATTACTGGCATTATCGTGAGCTTCACGCATGTCGTGTTTAGTTTCTAATCAAACATGGTCGGGTAGGACGAAGTTGTCCGTCTTCCACTACCCGCGTCGCCTCCGCGTGAAGAGCAGGAGCAGAAGATGGGCTCAACGAGCCCGAATAAGCGACCGGCGCCTCGAACGGCCCCTTCCACTCCTGCGAAACCCAGTTCTAAGAAGCAGCACAAAGAGCCTACGTCAGACCAGCCTCAGATTACGGCGTACTTCTCTTCAACGAAGTCTCAAGGCTCCACCGCTGAAACGGCCATAGACGTTGATATGGAGGAGCCCACTACACCAGCTCACTCGCAGGCACCTCTTCATGGTGCTCCTGGCAGTACACCGCCATCACAGCTACCTCGCTACAGCTTACATCTATCGGATACGAAGACGCGCATACGCCCCACTCTTCCACCCGAAGAAGACACTTTCGCGTCTCGCATTCAACTCATGCTTTACAACCGCCTCCTGAGCGGCCTTCTAGCGACCGCCCGTCCAGACAATCCCTCCTCTCAGCCGTTCGACTTCGACGCCCTATGGCGTCAGGTAGAAGTCGACCCGACTCGCAGATTCTCCGACTCATTCCTGATCCAGGCTGGTCTGTCCGAGTCGCAGACGGAAACCCAGGATAGCACTTCGACAGAGAGCATTTTCGACTCGTCTGAGATCCACTGCCTCAACGACCTCACTCGGGCGTGGCGCCATGCCGTCGAAGCCCTCAACGTGGCCGGGGTCGACAAGACGCTTACCATCGTTTACCGCGCCCAGCCTAGAACAAAGGGGCGCCCATCAGCGAACGGCAAGAAGGCTCACGAAACGAATAGGGACTCATCCGAGTCCGCGCCCTCACCTTTGTCTTCTTCGGCGCTCTCTGTGTCCGAACAGGAGGCGCAGGACCTTGCGGCGGCAATCCAGGCGAGCATCAGCGACGTGCAGCCGGGACTGGGCGGAGATGACGAGCTTGCGCGTGCGATTTATGAGAGTCTCGAGGACGCGATCCGCTCGGGGCGGGTGGCGGAGGGCGAGCTCGGCGTCCTGACGAATCCATTTGGGCCGCCCATCTCTGAGACATCGCCTACGCTGGAAGGAGCGTCGAGGATGGGCGGGGCGGCAGGGGTGGAGGGTCTCAGTGATGAGTTTCAGCTTGCATGGGCGCTGCAGGAGTCGCTCCTTGCGAAGTTGGAGGAGACACCTGTGCTAAAGGAAGCTATCTCCCACTCAGCGGCTTCTGGTGTTGATGCCCCGGTCGCCAGCGAGAAAGAAGCGGAGGAAGAAGATCCGTCTGGGGTGGCATTGGGCAAGCTGGTCCAGCGTGCTGCGACAGAGGAAATTGAAGGGGCTGCAGAAAGCGCACCTTCCGTTACCGGCGTGGAGGAAGACGAGGACGAAGTCATGATCACTGCGGCCGACCTAGAGACCGAAGCTTGGATCATCGGGACGAAGGAGTTCGAGGTGGACGACGCCCTGCTAAATGACTACCTCGAGCGTGTGCTGGCGTGGTGGTATGGGGAAAGACCTCCGCAGGGGGTCGACGTCGGGCTTACCCGACGTTGCGTGTATGTGACTTTCCTTGATCCTGTTCCACAGCTCGTGGTACTAATACGGAATGCTCTAGGACCTGCGAGTATAGGGATGGCTGCGAGTGGAGGGAGAAGAAGGCGAATGAGGCGCTACAGAAGTTTAGGGACCGTAGTGGTACCCCACTGACTGGTCCATCAGCGCCGCGGTGGTGACCTCAAGGGGGACTTTTGACCGCCTCATGGTTTTCTATGTCATCGCTGCATCTCAGCTGTCATTGCTTTGCTTTCTCATTCTCACTCGTGCACAGGGAGACATATTTTCGTGTCATCTTGATTTCTGCAGGGTCGTGCCAGCTGCTGTCGTACATGGTACATACCACTCGATCACAATCCTACCCAGAAGTCCCGGGAGGTTCAAGGAGAAATGAAAGATGGTAGCAGAATAAGCCATGGGCAGTCAGCCACTACTTCCATGGACCTCTGGGTGCCCCGCCGAAATGTTTTGATCAACACACAAAAGCACTCTCGATCTCAGAGGTCGACGTCTCGCCAGATGCAGTCCAGTGCATTGATTGATCAAGATGGACGGTTCTGTTCCGGGCCTTCCAAAGACTTATGCTTCCCTTGATTACGGCTCTTCCAATTTGGGTGACGAAGACTGGGGCCGATCGGGTCGTTATCATGCATTACAGCGCGAACCACAGCCCTGCAAGCGCGAGTTGTCAGCTACGAATGACTAGATAATGCTGTTGTGAGTACGCACCTGGGAATCTGAAAACCCTCGAGTGCAAGCTGTTTTTTGATCGCATTGGGACCACACCGTCGGTGCGGATCATTAATGGCCATTTGCTCGCAGATCAGCGTGTGGAGGTCGGGAGTGGCGGTGGTTTTCGCGCGGTCGGAATGTTGTACTTTGCATTCAACTGCTTAAGTTTACTCTTCCTGCATTGGAAGTCATGGAAGTCATGAAATGTGGGGTGCCGTGACTGAGAGTCTTAGGATACTGACTTTATGTGGTAATTCAGCTCTGCCCCGAGTCGTTGTATACGGCGCTGAAGTGAAAGGCGCTCCCGGGCATACTGCTGCAGGGCGGCGATGAGTTCTTCTTCGGATGGAACTGCTCGTATAGTTGTTGGAAACGTTCCCACAGACTCTGTATGATCGCTAGTAGTAGACCACCTGTGCCGTTATTGTAACCGTTTGCCCCTGTAAGATTTACCATGGCTGAAGTCGAAGGCAAATTGAGACGGGTGATGATCACGCATACAGTTGCGTTTACTTTCATATAGGAGGGTTTACCTGGCCCAAGCACCATCATGAAGGCTAGGCCCTCAGCATGAGGCAATGCATGGTCCGACGTTGTAACAAAGCGCTGCGCACGATAGCCTCGACCGGATAGCGCCAGCGTCGAACACAAAAGCAATCACAAAAGTCGAATGGCCCTAGCGCCGACATCCGACTCGGCCGATACCGCCCTGCGTTTTGTCTGCATCGCTCAATATGGTCTTATAGACGCCGATGGACGCCCGGGCATCAAACAGCTGGCAACAGGATCACTGCTGGACCAAACTGTTTCGAACCCTACCACTTTTCTAGCCCGACCATCAAATTAATTCTTGCAAGCACTGCTCAGCCTGCAGCTTTAGGTTTAGGAGAAGGCATCCTCTCGCTTTGAGTCTTCTCACTGCGAATCCCACGAAAGTTCTCAGGGCATAATCTCCGTCGACCCGTCACGAAACGTGCAGTACTTACAAGAGTCCTAATATACCTTCCCAATGGGGCAAACATGACAACTCCCAACGGAGAGCATATCATCAACCTATGCTGTGAACAGCACCCCTGGCGACGTTCTGAGACACATTCCCTTCCCCCGCTCTCCTCGTGCAGCCTCATCCATCCCGAGTCCGCGCGCCCACCATGTTACGTACTTCGGACTGGCTGACAAGATTTGCCGTGGCGTCACGTAGGGAGAACAGGTGCATGGTGCGCTGGACGGCACGTCCGCCCAGGCACCGGCAAGGTCAACTGCCGTCATCATACAATAGCACCGACCGGACGCCTTCCGGGCTGTCCACGGTTGATCGAGGACGAGTATAAAGGTTGCGCTTTCATGGCCAAGGATACTTTCCCCAGCTTGTCTCGCAGCGCGGTCGGCTCACCTGGACGTCGAACGTCTAGCATTCCACCAGCCTATTCTCAAGACACTGTACTAGTTTTCTCTTCCATTTCATTCGTCTCTCCACCGCTGCGCGGCAAGTTTCTACAGTCCAGACTAATCTCCGCTCACTTGTTATTCTCAAGTCAGCCATGGCACCATTCACCTACTTGACTCTCGTCCTTGCCCTCGTCAGCTCCGCCCTCGCCGCTCCCACCCCTGCTTCATCCGAAACGCTACTTGAGAAACGCATAACGCACTCGGGACGTGTACGTTTACTCTCGTTCCTTCTTGTTGTCCTGATGCTCATTAGTAGTCATACAGGGCACGTTCTTCGAGGTCGGCCTGGGAGCATGCGGCAAGGTCAACAAGGATAGTGATCACATCGTCGCCATCTCATCCTCAATCTTCGGCTCCGGTGGGAACTGTGAACAGGTATGTGATTTAGAGGTGTTGATCGCACCTAACAGTCAGTGCGGCACCGTTGGTCAATCCCTAGCTGACGCCTTGAGTGTAGTTCATGCAGATTAAGAACAACAAGAACGGCAAAACGGCGTTCGGTCTTGTCCGGGACGAGTGCCCTGGTTGTGGCGCTGGAGACATAGGTGCGTCTGTCCTGCATCTCGCTCAGGTTATAGCTGCAAGATTCTGACGAATGCGCGTACAGATATGAGTCCTTCGCTCTTTCGGGCCCTCGGCGCATCGCTGGATGAGGGTGTACTTGACGTTTCATGGCATTTCGAGAAGAAAGGCTTCAAGCCCTGAGACTGCCGCTACGTGATGACATTTAGGAAGGAAAAGGGGTTAATTATGCAGTATCACGATCTTGTATGACTTGTTGGCACGATTTTCGGGTGAATGCTACACGTTTACGTTCAACTACAGCATCTATGAGGTCCTATTGGACAGTGTTCATCCTGCAGAACAGTTGCCGGAGATGTGGTCAGAGGAAGAGAAGTCAGAGAGGATCTCGATCTGAGTTCCGGTCATATCGGACTGCTGCGGAGTACGGTCGATATGTTGCTGGACGACCATCTCCGCTGGCCTGCACGTCCTTCTACCCTTGAACCTTACGCTCTCCCACCTACCGGCAGCATTGTCGACCACGTCAACACTTGAGCATCGGCTACTTCCCCCGAAACGCGTCAGCCATGATGATGGACGGCGGCTGGGAGGACCATCTACACTTCGGGTTTCTTGGCGAGCATGTCTTGGTCGACGGCCTGCATCTTGATTCCGCGCCCTCTTTCTTCATCGCCTCCCTCCTCACCATTGTCATCTGTACCTCCGAGAGGTGCGTCGTTCTAGGAAAGGCTGGGGCGGCACTGTGAACGCTTACAACTGGCTTAGAATCTTGACATATGCCGTTTCCAAGCAGTGGCATCCGTGGAGGGGCCATCGCCCCTCCCGCGTGGGATTGGCGTTGTGGCGGGCGTGCCTATACTGGCTGGTGACCCTTGATAGACTGTAGGTCCAGCTCTCCTCAAAGTTGTATTTGGCATATCGTGGGTCATTGAATGACGGCGAATGGCTAGGATGTACATGCTCATAGGCATGACATTCAGCATAGGGTGAGTAGGTTCCTCTCGCGCCATAGTAGTTGCAGTAGTTGACGCTCTGCAGGCTGATTATCGTCGCAGTGAGTACTTCTCCCATGACATGTCCCCAAAAGCCGACATTCCCCAGGTCACCACCCTCGCCGTGGGCCAGTTCGTGATCGAATACCTCGATCTGGGTGAAAGACCGGTCTCTGAGTAAGTCGCCGTACATCTGGATACACACTCCCACAGCTCATCTCCGCCCAGCAATGAGAACGTCCACGTAAAAGAACCCCTCCTCCGCTCGTCCGAGGAGGCCTACGAGCCCGAGACTTCCTACCCTCCGTCGCGTCAAAGCCGCTCCCGTGCCCGGTCAAAACCCGAGAGCATTTTCATCCATCCCAACGAATCTAACCTTGCTCGCGCGGACGCCGCAGCGGTTCAGCTTGGACTTTCTGGGGACACGGACCTCGTCAAGGGCAACGTCTACCCTGCCGACGGCGAGACGTGGGAGCATGGCCGGGGGCGGGATACCGCTCGGGAACTACTCGGCCGGTGAGGCTTCCCACACTCCGTGCTTCGGGTAGCGGCACGTTGTCTCTCATAGATGCGAACTATCGTTGGCCGAGTGAGTGAGCGGGAACTCACCCTAGCCTCCGAGCGTTTGATTTTCGACCGCAGGGCTATTGCTACTAGTCCTGTCATGTAACTTATCATTGTATCCCTCATTCGCTTTCGCACTCGCCTCACATGTAGCATGCACGCAACCGTTCTTATACAATCTTGAAGGACTTCAGGTTCCTACATAACCAAATTGGAGTCAAGGCGTGAAGCTCCATAAACAGTGCAAAGCAAGTGAGAGCATGATACTTCGTGATGTGTATGACCGCTTGTGGACGATCAGAGAGGGTCCAGTCAATACTCCCAAGATACCGACAAGAACTCAATTAGTCCTTCCGCTCATGAAACCGCCATCTGCGCCAATGACAAACCATCTCTCCGGACCAGCACTCTGGCACAGATCTGCTCGCCTACGCTCAACCTCGTCCAGAGCCTCCGGTCACCATCCCCGTTTTCCTCTCTGGAGCGGCTCCTCGACCAGAGCGGGCCCCCGAACTTGGGTTCGTCTCGTCCACTACGCGCTGCCACCTATCGATCAGCCTCGACACGCCCTGGTATGGCTTCTCGGGGGATGGAGAGCGGACGTTCGCGTTCGCGTTCACGGGCGGCTCGAGTTGTGCCGACATCTTGCGCTCCATCCGCGGCGAGGGCGGTGGCGGCATCTCCTCCCGCTGATGCCTGACAGACGCACGGGATGGCGGCTGCTCGCGCTGCGGTTCGGCGAGAGGTGAGCGACGAGAGGGCATGCCGTTGACGACTGCGCCGGTGGATGAGCCGCTGCTATAAGCGCTCGAGTAGGGTGTCTCGAGTCGGCCAGCAGGCGACGTCCGCGAAGGCAAGCCCGTCGGGGACGTACGGTGCTTGGCGAAGTCGCGTCCGAACTGCGAACGGCCGGTATCCTCCGGGACAGCGAGGTTGGCCTTCGTCAACACAGGTGATGTCGTGGGCGATAGTTTCGGGAAGCGCGTCGCGGCGGCGGAGGGCGAGAACGTGTCGCTTGAAGCCGCGCTGCTCGTGCTCTGGTGCGTCTTGAGGGACAGCGCGACGGGCTTGGTCGGCGGACCCGGCCCGGGACCCTTGGGCGGCTTGGGCCCACCAATGGCCTCATAGTGCTGGACCATGTCCGAGATTGAACTCCGGCGTGGTTGCGGCTGCCTGCGCGGAGCCCCGGGTTGCGAAAGCGCGGACTGTTGTGCAAAGGCGGCAGCTGCAGCGGTGGACGAGGGCGCTTCCATCTCAGTAGCATTAGGCGTGGACTTGGATACAGTGACAGGGGAAATGAACATGGACTGCGGTCGGGAACGGCCTGAAGATTCAGTGGGGGAAGTCGCAGAGGTGGGCATCAGACCACGCCGCGAGCCGGCCTGGGAGGACGGCTGCTTCGTGTGCTTGGTAGGCGAGGGCAGCGGCCTGTTGGAGGGTATAGAGGGCTCTGGCGTCCTGGCGGGCTGTGGTGAAGACGACCGCGGCTTGTTCGTGACAGGGGGTGGCATCATGGTCGATCCCGAAGCAGGCAGGATCACCGAACTCCTCTTGCTGGGGGCACTCGCGGTCGTAGGGCTCTTCCCCTTCTCTAGCCCCCCGCCCCACAAGTCGACGAGGTCGTGCACAGAGCTCTGCCTCCCTTTGCTCCTCGTCCTCCGTCTCCGTTGACCCTCGCCCGTCCCATTGAGCGGTGCGCCGCTCTTCGTAGCAACCTCCTCCAGCCCTTTCGTCTTCTCCGCAGCCCCACCCCTCGGTATGTACCCATTAGGGTCCTCCGGCCCAACGTCGCTCGCGGATGATGCCGAGCCGTGCCTTGACCGCGACCCGCGCTTGGGCGACGGCACCGGGCTCCAGTTGTCCGTAAGTCCACTTGGCGACGGAGTGGATGCCTGCCTTGCGCCCGTACCAGCGGGGATCTGCAAACCAAGGCCGGCAGTGCCGACGTCCGCACGCGTGATGAACGCCTTCGTCGCCTCGCGTGACCTTGACCTCTGCCTCTGCCTCATCTCTCTCTCCTCGGCCTTCCGCCTCTCGCGCTCGCGCTCAGACTTCCCCGCGGGGATCTTGTCGAGGCTATCGAGAGCGTTATGCCACTCGCGCTCGAGCTCCGTCACCTGCGCCTGTTGTGGCTGTGGCGGCGGGACGACCGTCCCGCTCTCCGCCTCGAGCGGCTTCGCGAGCGCGATCGGGCTGCGTTCAATGTAGCTCGCACGCTTGCTCGGGGAGTCGCGCAGCTTCGGTTGCTCGTCGGATGGGGCGTTGAGACCCGTCGTGCGTACGCCCAGAGGCATCCCGCTCATGTCCTCGTCGCTGCCCGTGAGCCAATCCTGAGGCTGCTGGCGTGGCCGAGGAGGCAGCGATGGAGGGGAGGGCCCTGTGAGGAGGTCAACCGGCTGGGGCTGCGCCTGCGACGTCTTCATTGAGACCGAGCTCCGGTGTTTGCGCGAGAGCGAAGGTCGGCTCTGGAGGGGCTGCTGATGTTTGCTCGGGCCGTCATCAGCCTTGGTGAGGAACGTCGACTGGCGTGAGCCGGCCACGCGTGCGTCGCGCATCGCGGTGCCGGTGACCTGCTGCGAGCGCACGCCGTCGAAACGGCCCTTCACCCCTGGGGCGTTCAGAGCTGTTGGGGCGCTCCCGGTATGCGAGCCCATGTAGCTGCTCCGCGACGGTGGGCGATCGGACGTACGCGGGGGCAAGGCTGGCGGCGGCTTCTCTGAAGGAGTGCCGCTTGGGGAGGCGAAGGTGCGGTCGAGATCCTCGAGCGAGGGGAAGCGTTCTTCTGCTGAGAGGTTCTCCTGCGACGAGGATGGCGCCTTGACGTGCTGCCGCCATGTCTGCGAGGGCGGGGGAATGGGCGAGAGGTTGCTCGACTGAGGCTGGATCTGGGACTGCGGCAGTTGTGGCGAAGGTGTCGGTCGTGACGCGTGGATGCTCGGGGGTTGGTACATTGTGTTGGACGTTCCAAGTCCCCCAGCTCCGCTGGGAGTGGGAGGGGTGATGTTGTACAGAGCACTCGATGCATTCGCGCTCGAAGACGATCCGAAACTGGCCAAGCCTGTTCGACTCATTCGCGCCTCCGCGAGTGTGGGTGTCTGTGACGCCGTAGGAAGCGCGAGGCCTTCGAACGCGTCCTTCCCTATTCGACTCTGGCGGAATCGGGATGGCTGCGAGGGAGGCATTGACGCGCGGGAGCCGGTGGGCGGCGAGGGCGATGAGATGGCGGCTTTCGCGGGATCAAACGCGTCCCCAAACCCTGTGCTGAAACCAGAAGACGTGTGTTCCGCTGGTTTGCCGCCAGCGGGCGGTGAGCGGGAGGTCTGAGTGGTTGTGAACTTGCTCCCCAAGCCAGACGAGAAGTCACTATCAAAACCGCGTTGTGAGCCTGCATCATTCTTCTGCGCGGACTGGCGAGACGCAAGACTCCAGGCATCGGCATCACCCTTTCCGAAAGACGACGTGTCGTTGCCTAATGAGGGAAGACCGGACCTGGCTGCGCGAAGGCCACCCTTCCAAGCACGATCACTGTCCTCGTCGCCGAACTTCGTCTCAAACGTGACGGGCTTCTCCGGACTAGAAGGCCGTGACGGTGCCTTAGAGGAGGTAGGTTGGGTAGCCCCCTGTGGTCGACCCCGGCGCATTGGGGCAATAGCCTCGAGCACCTTCTCGCGAGCCTCCACCCCGGCATTCTTCGCCGGCTGCTGAGACTTGTACGATACGAGGTCATCAAGGGGATTTGAAGCGATGTTCGGGGAACGAGCTTGGAGAGGGGCCTGGAGAGACCGCGGAGACAATGGCTCCTGTGCGGGTATATTGTAGGTGAATCGCGACTTGGTGCCTCTAAGGCCATGGACGTGATTGAGGATCTCAAACACGGTTGGGCGCTGGGCTCCGTGCTCCTTCAACATTGAAGCTGCCAAGAAAACTTGTCAGTACAAGTACGAATGATCGGCAAAAGGAGACTCACCGATCAGGGCGTTCATCTGCGCTGAGTATACGGGGTAGGGGGGGATCTTGTACTGAACGTTGAGGATCGCGAGGGGTCCATGTTCCTCAAAAGGTGTAGTATAGTAGCAGAGTTTGTAGAGGAGCACACCTAGGGCCCATACATCAGACTTCTCGTCGATCGGGCGCCGCAGGTGAACGTCGATCATCTCGGGAGCACGATACTGCAAGGTAGTATGTCGATTGAGATCGGCTTCAAGCATACGGAGCTCCTGGGTGTTAGTGGGGACTTTCTGCACTGGGGTAGCACTGCCAAAGTCGCATAGTTTGTATGAAGTCGGAGAGGCCTGGAGGATGTTCTCGACCTTGAGGTCACGGTGGAGAATGGGGGGTTTGAGGGCGTGCATGGCCGCGAGACCTTCACAGACGTCGACGAAGATGGTGAGGATCTCAGACTCGGTGAGACGTTCGCGCAGTCGACGGTTCATCATGTCAATGATGCCTCCGCCAGGGCAGAACTCCATGAGGATGAAGACCTCGTAGGTGCCGTTGGTCATCCGGTGCCAAGCGGCGTCGATGAGGAAGACGATATTTGGATGACCTTTGAGGATCCGCTACGAAAGATGCGTTCACAAGGCGCACAGGAAGAGATGATGGGGTTCCAGTCACCATTATATCGACCTCCTTCTTGACCTCGGAGAGCATGGTTTCGTTTGGGACGGCGATGCGCTTGAGAACATGGTGAGTAGTGTTGTACACCGGCTGGGCGGTTCTGACGAGGTAGACATGGGCGAACCCGCCTGGAGAGAAGTGAGAACCAGATGGACATGCGATGTAGCAACGAGTGTTGCGGACCTTGGCTGAGATAGCGCTCAACTACGACGGTGTACTTGTTGACGGTGATGCTCTGGCCGGGGACCAGGGTGCCCTTGTTGGCCTGCGCTGCATATGCCTGCGGGAATGCCTGCATGGCAGGCGTCGAGGAGGGGCTCGAGGCAGCGGAGGCGGAGGCAAAGCTGAGAGGAGAGGTAATAGCTGGCCGTAGCCGACCACAACCAGCCAGTCCTCCAATCGCGCCGGCCTCGGCATCCCCCGCCTCCCCGGCGCCTGCCCAGGACGCGTCAATAGCGCCAAATAACGCGTGTTTCTGCCCCTAGCCTAGGGTCCCCGCACGTGGATGGCATCTATGCTATGACGTGCACACGCTGATTACCCTTTCCCAGTCGTGCGCTCTCAATCTGCTGTCTCCGTCGCTGGGGCTTCTGAACACTTCATCGGCTTGATCATTGACCACCATCACTCAGGACAACATGGACAGGCCAGGGAACATTCACCTCCTCCACCTCCAGCACTCGGAGCCCAACCCCTTCTCCCGTCCCACGACCCCAGGCCACCATGACCTCCAGATCGGCTTCGTCGGTCTCGGGGCGATGGGTTACCCTATGGCCCGCAATCTTGCTAAGTGGCGCAAAGAACATACCCAGGCACCGACCCCCCTCTTCGTCTGGAATCGCACCAAGGCCAAGGCTGACGATCTCGCCAAGGAGCTCGGCCCAGGGCTGATTGCGCCCGTCGACTCTCTTGAGAAGATTGCGATTGAATGCGACATCGTCATTACCAACCTGTCTAATGACGACGTTGTTCGCAGTGTATACAAGCAGTTTGCTAAGGTACTCGAAGTGAGTGCATGATGTCCATCTGGTGTCGATGTCGCCGTTCACGCCGCACGCTTTGTGCAGGAGCACAAGCCCACCAGGAACAAGATTTTCGTCGAATCGAGCACCATATACCCCGCGCTTGCTGGTACGTGCATCGAAGGATATGTGTACACTTGCGGCATCCTAAGTTCGATCTGATAGTCGAACTGGACAATCTCATCTCCAGCATACCCTCTACACACTTCATCGCCGCGCCTGTTTTCGGTCCGCCTACAGCCGCCGCCGCCGCTCAGCTTGTCATAGTCATGTCGGGTGACTACCGGACCAAAAAGGAGGTGGCTCACCTTCTTCACCCCGCTGTTGGCCGAAAGGTCATGGATCTTGGCGGGAACATTGAGAAGGGTATGTTTTCCTCAGTTTGACGTGTATTCTCTGTAACTAGTCTGAAACTATGATCTCACAGCGGCGACATTCAAACTGATCGGAAACGCGCTGATCCTCGGATCTCTTGAGCTCCTCGCGGAAGTGTTCACACTCTCTGACAAGGCTGGCATTGGTGCCGCATCGGTGCATCAACTCATTAAGGACATTATGCCCGCCCCACCGTCAGTCCGCGTTCCCACTACGTCCAGACGGCTCATTCAGTTTGCGCCTATGACGTCTATAGCTTGATCAGCTACGGCGACAAGATGCTCCACGACAAGTTCGACGGTAGCAAGGGCTTCGCCATCGATGGCGGTCTCAAGGACTCGCAACACATACGCCGGCTGGCGACCGAGCTTGACGCTCCCATGCCTGCCTTGGTAAGAGCCGTGGCTATAAACAGTGATCTGCTCCCGTTCACGTGCTGAGTACACACGCGATTATCTCACAGGACGCTGCCCACCAACATATGCTCACTGCCAGGGCGCTCTACGCGAACCAAGTGAAGCAAGGAAATGCCCACTTCAACGTCCTCGACTGGAGCTCCCTCATCGCTGGCAGTCGGGTTTCCGCAGGCTTGGAGCCGTTTGACAGCAGCAAAGTAAGCATCACCCTGGTTCATCGGCGGATTCATCGGCTCACGGTGTCCTGCAGCAGCACACCAAGCCTGTCCCTGAAGACTAGAGTGGGGACGTGGTCCTGGAATAGAAGAACGAAACGCTATAGGATGTAGCATGCAGTGTATTATCTCGTGTATCTGTGATCGGGTTGTACTGATATCCGGTTTGAATGGGGCTTGTCCTTTTGGCTGTCTTTTGTCGTCCGCTGTGTACTTGCGGCTCATCTGCGCCCACGTATCCGCGACTTTCTCGCAACTAGAAATGAGGCCTTGGAGGATCACGTCTAAGATTCGACGACGTTGTGGCTATTCGTCATCTGGGGAATATGGGAACGCCGTTCAGTGTCTGTTACCTGTGTCTATCACCTGACTTGCTGTTCACATTGCAGTCTGTCGTTTCGATGCATCTTCTCGGTACCCCTTGCAACACATATCTCCCAGCAGTATGGGAACGGCGCGATTCGAAAGTACGGGTGATTCAAGGGAGACTAGTCCAATCCCAGTGGGCTCCATAGTAGTAGAGGATTTCAATCACTAGAGACTAGCAGATCTCGACTACGATACAAGTTGTGTCGTATCATCAGTTGGATAGTTGTATGAACACCCGTCATTGAGCTTTTGTTAAGTATCAATGCGAGTCCCGTCCAGTCGCGTCATAAGCCACAGTCGATAGGCTCGACCGACGACACCTTCCAAAATAGGACGAGGGCAAAGTGAGGATTCAGAAGCGCCTGTAAACGTCCTGTTTACTTCCTCTCACCGACTGGGACATCGACTTGTGGTGTGGTGGTCGCAATGTTGAGAGCTGCGTCACGGATACCCACCTCCCTGCCGGTGTCGCTTCAGGCCCGGACATACGCTATCTCGCTCAGACCTCCGGTGGTCTACCCGCGGATGAAGGACACCCCTCGAGTCTACGCGGAGCGTAAGACGTACCTCTACAACCAATACACCCGTCTCCTCCAGGGCACGTCCACCGCACCTCTGCTCCTCTTCGAGCATTCCGACTTCTCTGCGACACGCCTCATCCAGCTGCGCGCAGACATTGCGGCCGCGGTGACGAAGCATGCTGGCACTGTCGCTCCTTCACTCTCGTCCCCGACTCCCTCACCGCCCCCTACTATCCCCACGTTCACCGTCCTCCGGACATCCCTCTTCGGTGTCGCATTGCGCGAAATGAACAATTTCGACGACGCCACGCGCAAAGAGATCGCCAAGACCGTCACGGGCTCTCTCGCGGTACTCTCCTTCCCCGAGCTCAACCCCCCACAGCTCAAGGCCGTCCTCCGCGTACTGGCACGTTCTGTGCCCCCGCGCAAGCCGAAGACCCCAGAACAACTCGAGGAGGAGAAGAAGGCGGTGGAGGCGGCGTTCGTCCCTGGCCGGAGACCGAAGCGGCAGAAGCCTACGCCCGTGCCCGACCTGAAGCTGCTGGGTGCGCTCATCGAGGGACGGCTGTTCAAGGCGGAGGGTGTGCGGAGCGTGGCGGAGCTGCCGACACTGGATGCGTTGAGGGCGCAGATCGTTGGGCTCTTGAGCGCACCGGCCGCTCAGCTGTCTATGGTGCTGAGCGAGGCGAGTGGAGGGAAATTGAAGAGGACGCTGGAAGGGTTCAAAAAGAGCTTGGAGGAGCCTGAGGGACAGGCTCAGGATGGTCAGACTCCTCCGCCATGATGGGCATATAGAGGCCCTGCTCCTTTGTATTGCATATATTCGTCTAATACGGCACACTATCTGCTTTCCATCGTCTTGTGAAAAGCAACACGGTGGGTCGTGCGCCCAGCGAAGAAAGGTCCCGCAATATAGTCCGAGGAGTGAATAGGAAGGAGGCTATAGAAGTGACAGCAACAGTCGACAAACAACAAGAAAGCATCACAAGCTATCTCCGCTTTGAGCTCCTGCTACTCTCCTCACGCTCACCAGGCGAGCCTCTCCGTTTCCTGAGGTTCCCATAGGCCTGAGTGCACGTTCATGATAGTGGAAGATTCGCCACGTACCTGCTGCTCCTGTCTCGTTCATCCACGTCAGGCGTGCCGCGATCCTTCCTGTCGCTACGTTCGCTGCGTTCACTGCGCTCGCTACGCTCCCGGTCGCCGCCGCCGCCGCCGGCAGCACCAGCAGCAGCACCTCCTCCACCGCCACCATAATCAAGCCCGTCTACAGCGGGAGCGCTGCCATCAATATCCTTGTACTTAGTCTTGTTCCGTGGCCCAGTGGGCACATTAGGTGGCAGCGGTGACGCAGGTCGGACAGGTATGCCTACTCAGACAAGCAAATCACGCATTGAGCCCAAAGTTATCAAGACATAAACATGGGGAACGAACCTCGCCCGCGACCCGCGAACACAGCTCCACGCCCGCGCATGCCCTGGGGCATACCCCTTCCTCTGAACTGCCCCTGCGCAATCCCGCGCGTAGGCGTCGGCGCAACAGGCGTCGGCGTACCGCTCCCATCCATACCAGGATACATCTGCTGTCCCATAGCAGTCGGGTCCTGCGCCACATGTGTACACACGTCAACTTTCGGCCCCAGACGCTGCAACAACGACAGGCGACCACCACGCACCTGCATCCCGAATTCGGGGTTCATCCCCATGCCCATCATACCCTGCCCGGATGGGCCTCCGCCGGGGCCAAAGCCCTCCCCGACGCCCATGCCCATCCCGACCTGGCCCTCCGGGTTGCCTTGTGCCCCCGCTTGCGGGCCTCCGCCGCCGTCGGGGACCATACCCATGTCACCCATCCCCATTTCCATCATCTGATTCATCATGGGGCCCATGTTCATCATTTGGTTCATCATCGGGCCGCCGTTCATGTTCATGCCCGCCCCGGGCATCATGCCTCCGCCCCCAGGGCCGCCGCCGCCCGCCCCGGCCATGACGGCGGTCGCGCCTGCCATGACCATTGTGCGGACTTCGGGCGGGAGACCGATGAGTTGGTCTTCGGACATGCCCGCGAAATTCTGGTCAAAGCAAAGGAGAATGAGCATAGCAAATGGGAGGCTTACGGTGGGCGACATGGAAAACCCACCATAACATTCGACTTCAGCATGCCAGCGATGTCACCGAGCTCCCGCCGACGGTAGCAATACGCCTCCCACGAGAGTTCGTCGAAGCCGTAATTGAACCAGTCGCTGATGTCTGAGCCTGGTCGCCGCCAGGGCTTCTCCGCGAGCGCATTCAAATCGACTTCCAGTATCGAGCGCCCATCGAAGGTTCCTGGTGCGGAGGGGTTTATCGACGGGTGCGATGGGGGGGCGGTTACGGGAGGAAGGGTGTTAGGGTCAGGGCCGGTATCTTTCGCTTCTTCCTTTTCGCCTTCTGCAATCTTTTCGGTGGTACCCGGGGTCGCAGCCACTGCCGGGAGCGGTGTTTGTGTAGTTTGAGAGGGTTGAGGGGTGGAGGGGAGTTTGGTGACACCAGCGCGTTCTCGGGGGGTGTACTCAGTTGTGAGCGACGGTTGTGGTTGCGGAGGTGCTGTCGCGACGTATGGATATTTAAGAGCATCAGGAATTGAAACGAGAGCTTACGTCTCTGTGGTGTTGTGAATGTCGCACTAGTGGAGCGAGTACCGGCTTGTCTCTGATGTCTGTCGTGGCAAGAATGTCAGACAGACGCAAGCAGTACAGGTACATCGTCCACGTACCGGAAGTCCAGTGACCGCGCCTGCGGTTCCTCCATAATGATCTCGATGTCCTGAGTAGATGTATGAAGTTCCAATAACTGTATGCGGGGAAGCCGTGGAGAACGTACGTCTTCGCTGTCATCCTCGTCTGCGTCCTCCTCTCCTCCGTTCTCCGCTGGTTCGGCCTCACCGTCGCCATTGACTTCTTCCGCCGCTTGTTCTTCGAGCTTTGCAACTAGCCCTTCGGTCGCAGAGCGCGTTTGCTCGACGGAAATTCTACCGCAGCACGTGCATGAGAGGGCTTACGACTTGGGCCAACATGTACGGTGACTTACGGTTGCGGCACTGAACATCACACCGGTTGGGGAAGTATCATGAGAATTTCCATTGCACTAAGAAAGAGGTACAAGAAAGGTGGTAGAGCCCAAAACCTTCTTGCTCCCAACCTGATTCTCACCAGATGTTTGCAATGCTGGCTTCGCCGGCTCATCCACATGCGAGTCTCCGTAAAGGTAGGTGTCGTCGTCATCCATGCTGAGATAGTAACAAATCAGCACCAGGTGTGAACAACTAAGGTGAATCGCGTAACACGAACTTGTTTCTGGCTGGCTCAGCCTCTCGGAAAGACAAAATGAAGTTCAGTAGACGACGCAAAGCAGAATGGAAGAGGCGTTTTGGGCAACAAGAATCGTTGACCCGCGCGCCTACTGTGAGCCGTGTACAGTCTCACGTGACCACAGATCTCAGAAATTTCGCGTTTCCGACTCGCGCGCGGCGCGCGCCGAGGTCCCTTTGACCTCTGTCTTGCTCTACGCCTTCCCTAGGGCAGCATCTGTGGCTCTCAGACGCCCCGGACAACCTACCATTCTTGCTGCTTGGCTCGATCCTTGATACCGTTGCACCGCAAGCATCCTGGACGTGAATCACCGCATCACAGCTACCCCTGCAGACTTAATCCACTATATTCCTCCCCGCAGAGTATTTACCCTCATGGGCAAATCTCAGAAGAAGCGCAATATGCGCAGACATAACCCTATGCGAGTCCCAGATTCGCATCTACCAAAAGGACTCGCATCTGCGGCCGCGACCTCGTCCAAGAACGAGGCGATCCTGCCAATCATACAGAAGGTGAGTCTTTCCGCGAGTTCATCAGAAGTACGTAGCTCCCAGTAGTATATCGTTGAGTGATATTCGGGTGAAGACATTCCGTTGGTTTCGCGTCAGTGTAAGAGGAATGCCCGGAATTCAGAAGTTGCTCAGAAGGGCATCAAAGATTCATGTGCTATCCGCATGTCGTAATCTTTGCTAACTGATGACTTCTGTATGCACATCTGCTGTGATGGGTCTCTCTTATACTTCGGCGAACGGACCCGAGCTACTGCCTTTTAAATTGATCATGCATATTCTGACAGTACCTATTTACAGTTAGAAAGCATCGACCCCTCAGAACGAAAGTGGGCATGCGTCGCAGTGTCGAATATCATACAGAATGATCCTTCAACGCGGCGATTATTGCAAGGCAAAAACATCGTGGGTGCGCTTATCACTCGCCTCTCGGACAGTGAAGAAGAGGTCGTCGTGGAAGCTGCGGGGTCTTTGCGGTGAGTGTAAAGGTATATCAACTCACCGCTCGACGTAACGCGCCGACAAACGTGTAGGAACCTGTGCGTTGACGGCGGCTTCGACATATGCGCCGAGATGTATAACAAGAACATTTTGGCACCGCTCAAAATTTATGTACCCAAGGTATTGAGGATAAGTCCTGTAATAAAACGGCTCGTGACAATTGCATATTTGTTCAGATTTCAGCGACCTTGTCGCAATATCTGGAATCCCCCAAAAATGCACCTGAAAACGCACAGAAGCTTGTGTACGAGTTCGCCGAAAACGTTATCACAATTCTCTGGTGCCTTTCGTAAGTTCACTGATCGTTGTCTTCTGCTGTGATACGTTTCTTGAACTAATGAAGACCAGAGAGACCTCGAACAAGGCTTTAAACGCGATCAACCAAATCTCGCTTGTGCCTTTCTTGATGTCCTTTCTGGCAGCGAGGGATAGACTGCCGTTGTCAACTGTGACTTCTGCCGGTGAGTACCACCTGGTCCGCCTTTGCAAATATTACGTCTGCTCACAAGGTCACCATGGAATTACTATGGGAATAGCACAATGTCTGTACGTTTTGACAGACGAGAACTATCCCATCATCGATGAGGTGCGGTCGAATGCGGGATACACGGCATGTCTTCTCGCGATCATTCGTTCAGCTGAGGAAGCGCCAAAAACGAATGGAAAAGGAAAGGAGACGTTTGATGTCCGGGCTGATGCTCTTCGGGTTCTTTCTTGTGGTACGGCCATGTGTTGGTACGGCGTGGCTCATATGACTGAGATCAATTTTAGGTATCCTGCGGAATATCTCACCTATCCCGCCGCCTTCCATAGCTACCACTATAGATATCGATCGGGACGTCGTTCTCCCGACTCTAGAACCTGTCTTGAGCTCAATAGACCTGCAAGAAGCGTCTCAAGCGGCACAGCACGCTGTGGACAATCAAGTAAGCGGTTTACACCGCTACGAGACTGTCGGACTCAATGTGGCTTCATAGGAGTCAACACCGCAACTCGAGAATTTGTCACTAAAACACACACCCAAATCCGACCACAAGACGCCTTCCGAGCTTGAGCTTGAACGACTGGAGACGCGGCTACGCACGATCCAGCTCGCTCTGGAGATTCTCACTGGAATGTGCGCGACACTGCCTGACCCGGAGATGTTCAGTGGTGCGACCGATGCTGACGGCGAGGATGACAACGAAGGTGCGTCAATTGCGAGTCGCGGCTCGTCGAGCCCCCCGCAACTACGTGCTGACACATGGGTCCCCTTCCCTACTTTGTAATGCGATACTACGTTACAGCCGGCGATGAAAACGTCGATGACGCCCCAGACATCGATATGACAATAGACAACGCAGACGCTTCGCCAGACACGCCGGGCGACGCGCCGCAGCCCCCCGCGTTCTTCACCACTCTAGTCGCTCCGTTGCTCAAGCTCGTACAACCAACGCCGCTCTCCTTCCCTCCCCTCGACAACCCGTCCCCACATCCGCCCACGACATCGGCGCTTGGTGCGATTCACGTCAGCGCGCTTGAGTGTCTGAATAACATCTTCCTTTCCATGGCGACCTCGCTCGCTGGCCGGCCCTCAGGTCTCGCGCCCGAGAACGGCCGCACGGTCTTCGACGCCGTCTGGCGCGCGCTCAATGCGGTGGGCACGGACATCTCTCGCTCGGGCCAGGAGCGGCGGAGAGAGGTGTGGAACATGGGCGTAGGCGTGCTCTGGGGCGTTGGCAACGTCTGGAAGGGCGCACTCGTGCCCACTGAGGAGCACGTCCAGGTCCTCACGCAGTTCTGCGGCGCCACGGCGGACACGGGAGTGAAGGTGAAGACGATCGGCGCGCTCGAGTGCCTGGCGCAACACCCGGAGTCTGTGGACGCGAATCGGGTGCGTACTGCCGCGTTGCTACGATTGATATCTCGATTATCCCGTCCCTGGATCCCTCGCGCTGTCTATAGCACCCGCTCTATCTTCGATCTCCCGTGTCACTCACTGCGTACGGGGTCACGCGGCTGACCGTTGTGTTCTTTTCCATCTTAGGTCATTTCTGCGTATCTTTTGTCGCTTCTCCCACCATCAGCGAACCCGCCCACGCCGACGGAGCCGCTCCTGCAAGCCGTATCCGCGCTGATCGATATCTACTCGGACGAGACGCTGCCGTACGACGTAAACTTCAGGTCAGGGCGCTACCTGGATGCGCTAGTCCAGTCCGTAGAGGGAGTCCGGAAGGCGGTGCGCGGTATCGATCGCAAGAAGGAGCGCGAGCTGCGCGTGCGGGGGGAAGAAGTCCGGGATAACCTCGTCGCGTTCATCCAGTACCGGCGTGGCCTCAAGGTCTGAGTGCTGGATAGCGACGGTAGCAGTCAGATTGAGGATTGAGTTTTTGCCTTCGAGCGGTTGCGCTAGCGTTGTGCGCGGTCGATGTCCAATTTGCTGGCCCAACAACGACCATGCCTTTCTCGGCAGATCACCGTACCGGCTGGCTCGTCTTGCTTAGGTGTCTTCTTACTAGTTCATGTAGCGGGCGCCATTAACATCGTGCGCTGCTTGCCGCGAGAGCGGGACCCGATAAGGGTTAACGTTGATTGTGCGATCTGTGAAATGCAAGACAATGCCGCGTTTTGTGGGCCGAGAGGAACGGGGTGAAGTAATCGATAAGTACATAGGAAGATCGAGAGAGCAGAGAAATCGAGAACGAGCGTGGCAGTGATCTTTGCTGAACGCTAGTCGGCCTCGTGGGCTGCACGTCGCCTCCCGTGTGGGTAGTGTTCTCCGGACGATCGATGAAATGACACGGCAGGCACGGGCCAAATTCTGGTGCGAAGAAAGGCGAGAGACACTCCGGGACAGTCTTAACTTCGCCCGGAAACATGACATCTATACAACATCACGCAAAAATTTGACTTTCTCTACGCCTTTCTGAGGATTGAACCTGAGAGAAAACTACACCTTCCCGCACGCTCGCCCCGTCAGAGAAAATGTCCGGGAAAGGTCAACTTTCACAGACTGAGCGCCAGAAAACCTTTGTGAAAGCTATTCTTTGCGCCCCTTTCTCCACTCTGGCGAGTGGCACTCCAAAGTTATTCTGTTGTATGAGAAGAAACGTATGGTATCTTTCTGTGAAAGTCATCCTATAGGTGCAAGAGCACACGCGTTTACGGCCACGCCTAATGACGTCGACGATATGATTAGACGCGAATGGGAAGGGAAGCCTGGACTTCGTGTAGGTGATCGCTGAGCAGAGACGCGTCGAGAAAAGGGCAGGACATTTCCCGATCGACCCTGCCGCTCAAGCTGTCAAGAGTCGCGGAAGCTGGGCTGGCGCCACGCCTTCCCGCCGCTCACACGCAGCCGCATGTGAGCTAGACAGAGCAGCATTCTGGTCCGTGGAGCTGGTGCGAATCTCGTGCAGGTTGGAGTGGAGCGAGTAAGCATCATGGGATATAAGGCGTCGAATTTCGCACCGAGGTGTCCGCTATGCATTGATCTGCGTCGGGGATAGAAGCTGCATGGGCTTAGCGACGGACCCCATACGCAATGTCCTTCGCATCTGGATGGAATCCTGAACGAACCGACATGGCGGCGTATCATCTGGGAAGGTGGATGCAGTCGTGCGGTCCAGACTTCGAAGGCAGTGGACAGAACGTTGTTCGCAACATGGGTGTCTTCGCTTGCGTCGTTCCAGAGCTTACTGAATCTGTGACGACAACGAGGCGAGCCTAAAATTTTACAAGCGACGTCATATTCTGCGGCTGTTCGAGGAGGAAATCGCTTGCCGGACCTTGGCTTAACCATCAGATCTCTCACTTACCGCACTCAAAAGCGCCTGGACGTCGTGTAGGGTGCATGGTACGCAAGATCGAACGAAGGACGAGCCCACAGACAATGCTGACAGTATACTGACTTGACCGCCTTGAAGTTCACTTGCCCTCCACCGGCCGCTTTCTCAGCTGACTCGAGCAGGACTGACACTATCTGAAGCTCTCACCGTAGTTACCAGAATCTATGACTAGCTGATAACAATATATTCTCTGAAGAAGTGTTATTGACTTGTGTCAGACATAGCCGGTTGAGCGGCTGCCCCGAGTCGTCAGAATGCAGTAGGAAACGTCACAGATCGAGGGTGTGAGATTCCTGCTTTACGAAGGTTGCTTGAGATTCAAGCAGTCAAGCAGTCAATTTCACCACGACATGACATGTCATCGTCACTCACCCGTGCACTTCATTGATGGAAGTCCGACAGCTTCCCTCCTCATTTGTGTGTAACTCTGAGTGAGGGTGATGGCGAAAGTATGAACTGCAGGAGGGTCATATTTTCCTAGCGCTTACTTCGCATGTATGCTGCCGCAATAGCACCTATGTATCATAACCAACGATCAGCAAGAACGAGGCGAGGCTAAGTCGAGGATTGCCCAGTTGAGCCGGTTCATGGAGCGACGGGATCACATGACCAATAGACGCGTCTGTTTCTCACGGTTGAGGGACGCGTCGGGACTCGCGTCTCGCTTCAAGGTCTCTGCCCCCTTGTCCCAAACGCCCGTCTCGACGTCCATTTGTCCTCCTTCCGCAAGACATCCTTGACGCTATACAAGATCTACATCCAGCCATTACCACAAGGCACCGCATCGGACGACCACTTGTTCCAGAGTCATCTCGCCAGTGTCCTCAACTTCAAGCCACAAATCAAGCATTTCCTGTCTCGGGTAAGGTCGTTGCCTGTTCCGCCACCTGCACAAGTATGCTCACACAGCGTTGCTTTGACACTAGCATACTCAGATTCGTCATGGGCGAACTCAGCCTACGCCATATCCCCGACCTCTCTGATGCTTCTGGCATCGGCGAGTTTTCCGACTCCTCCTTCCAGATCCCGGCCGCAGCCCGCCATGCCGACGACTTGCTTCTTGCAGACGACACAATGGACTTCTTCTCAAACGAAAATCACACACTCAGTACCCCCGCGCCTTCCAAACCTCCCGTGCAACCTCCGCTCACCCTAGCAGAGCTTACGCCCCGCTCCAAACCTGTACGCGCAGCAGCCACAAGATCATCTTTGCGCCCTCGCCCCGGAGTGGCTACCCCTTATAGAGCCAACATCGCCCAAGGACTCTCTGCAGCCCTGTCCGAAGACCTGTCGCCATTCCGTAAGCACGACCCCTCTTTCGAAATACCCCCTCCGCAGACGCATGACGACGACGATCTCCTTATGGCGGACGATGGACACCAATTCCTCTCCGAAGAACAATCCTCCCTTGATGCGACCCCACCCCGCGCTCCTGGTTCAACCACAGGACCCTCTACGGGCGTGACGCCCAGTGATGCGCCGCCGTACGCCGTACTCGTCGAACCCCTGCCGTCTGTGCAGAACATACCGACGGAGCTTGTACCAAGATCCCCGCAGTCTATGGCAGATGTTTACATTGTCGACCCTGCATCCCTTGCCACGGTGTCTGGTATCCCGAACATGCCGGAATCAATCCCGGCGGTAAAGATCGAAGACAACCCACACGATCCTTCCAAGAAGGGGAAAGGCAAGGCACTTTCCAGGGTGAATGCCACAGTCCGACAAAAGATGGCCCCTGGCGGCGACAAAGCGAAGCGAAAAAGGGTACTGATAATTCCTAATAGAACATATGGTTTCGGCGGCTCATGGATACGGTTCCTCATTGGTTCTCCAGGTGACCCCCGCCGCAGCGATATCGAAACCTGCCAAACTCAAACCCTTGACTGCGTCCTTGGCTCCCAGACTCTCGGCCTCAGGCAAGAAAACGGCTCCGACCCTACGGCGCCGCCCTTTGCAGGGTGGGCCTTCGTACACACACACTATAGGTTCTAGCGGCTCAGTTGCTGCGACAAATGGCCACGCGAATCCTCACGCTGCCCCCGCCGATGTCAAGCCCTTCCGAAGTGGCGGATTGGCGGATACACTAATGTCGTACGGCCAGAAGCTCATGTCGACCACACAGAGGTATATTCGGTCCCCTGAATCTGCATATCCTGTGCGGCGAATGACTGAGAATGATTGTACGTCTAGCTCACACGACGCCCTTGCGGAACACTGCGAGGACGCAGCTGATACGGTAGAGGACGGGATCCCGCCTGTACCTGAGACCACTGTTAGCGCAACCTCAGCTTTGTCCCCAAACGCGGACGATGGTCCTGTAGCACACGACATGGCGCACCCAGCGAGCGAGCAGCAGCATGCACGAGCCGTCCTTGATCGGGACTACCTCACTCTCTCGCAGCTATCTCCGCGGAAAGCTGAGGCAGCAATTGCTTCCTCGACCACGTTGGCCTCGCTTAACACAAATGAAGCGCTCGTCCCCGTGCTCGATCAACCCATACCTCCTGCAGCCTCCTCAGAGCGTCAAGAGAGTTCACCATCCCCAATGCGTACCTCTATCAAGCGCGCGGCGTCGCCGGCCGATGAACTTTCTGTGCACCAACGCAAACGGGGTAAGACAGTACCCAATGACATGGAGCCGTCCTCCGGAGATCTCAGGTCCCGCAGGCCTGCCCTGCAGCCCTCTCGGTCGAAGAACGTCCCGGCGGGTGCCCCCTTGGGCTCTGGGCCCACATCTCGTACACGGCGCGTCGTCTCTGGCACTGCGAAATCAACCACTGGCGGTGTCGCAAGCGCGGATCGCGCTACGCAACCCACGGAGACAACGTGCAAGCCCGGCCTCAAGTCGTCGCGGTCACAGACTGTGCCTGGTGGGGAAGGTTTGGCTAACCCGACGGTCCAGACCACAGCACGTTCCATGGCGAGCACGACGTTGAAGAAGAGCAACCGTAACGCCGCCCCCTCATCCTCGAACAACGGGAGCAGATCAAGGAATTTTACCGTCCCACAGAGGGAAGGCGTCCCCGATGGTGAGGAGCGTATGACGGATGGACTGGAGTCTGGCCGCTTAACCTCAGCTAGTGTTGACAGACCGGTACGTACCATTCATTGCATTAGGACATGACATTCCTACTACTCGTGCCGTTTCGGTCGTATCTTGATATTCTCGTTTGTGTGTGTGGCTACATCCCGCCGCGTACAAGATTGGCTTTACGGTATAGTACCGCCGCTGTTCGGGGTTCTCAGTCCAGGCCTTCTCTATCCCCTGGGTTTGATGATCGCGCATTGCCGACCGAAGGCCAACGTTGTGCGTCGCCGATGCGCTCGGCGTGACCCCATAAACCATAGCGCCACCGCCTGATTCCCAGGGTCGCACGCAATTCAATCGGGCTTGCACACTGCTATCTCTAGCATCTTTCTAGCCGTCCGCTCGATTTAGCTTGCGCGCTACCGGCCAGACCATTGCTAATACCTCCTGCTTCTAGTCCACAAATTTACCTCCCGCAAAGACTACGAAGTCGCAAGAGTTCACATTCACCACGTCGACGCGTATGCGAACCCGCAGCAGGACCACGGCTGAGCAAACTGACAAGTCCACTGGTCACAGCTCGAGCGGGAGCACGAGCACGAGCACGAGCGTCAACGGCAACAGTCACAGTCAATCATCCCTTAAGGGGTCCCGTGCACCCATCCCGGACTTCAAATCGCTTCACGCTATGCGCGAGTCGGTGCTCGCTCGGCGAAGAGCAGAGGTCCACCCCACAGTGCCCGTAGGATTCGCGTTCGCGACGGACACGCGGGCAGCGGAGCGCGAGAAGTTCGAGGAGGCTCGTCGGGCGCGCGAGCGCGAGCTTGAGCGACAGGCTGAGGAGCGCAGGCGGCAGCGCGAGCTCGAGGAGGAGGCGGAGATCCGCGAGCTCAGGCGCCGCGCGGTGCCCAGGGCGAACGAGGTCCCGGAGTGGTACGCGTTTGCCCCGAAGAAAGCGAAGCCAGCGGACGCTGCCGGCGGCAGTGGCAGCTGAACGTTCGACGTGCGGGTTGCGCTGTCAAGCGCAGGCTTGCGCACTCGTCAGGTAGCGAAACGGTAGGGACGATGTAGCGGATGGTGATGGTGCGTCGAAGGTCGTCGACCCGGGAGGCGTAAGCGTGGGTCCCGCCACACTCGATCGCCCTCCCGCCACGCGAGATTGCGTTCCGTCGTCGGCTAATGCAACTTCGGAAATCAGGGCGCTCAGGAAGGACGGGAAGCAGGAGAACGAGATGCACGATACCCGATGTGGCGGGATATGCGAGCGGGGCGGGTGTGGAGGCTGCAGTTCGCGTCTGTTCACAGTGCAGTCACCTCGTTGACATTGCCAGCGATAACAAGAAGCGAAGGAGTTGCGGAAGAGATGCGGGAGTTCATCGCACGTACCCTACTGCAAACTGTCACCGACTAGGTGACAGCTTCTGTGCGTTTGCGCTCATTGTCGCCATGCATTCGGGCTCACTGTCGCCCGTTTCGTTATCTTCTGTTTCTGCGTGCTTTCAGCGTGTTCAGCGTTCAGCGTTTACTATTCGCAGCGTTCAGCACGATCATGTCGGTCGATCGGTGCTCTGTCATTGCAGCGCAGGTGCAGTCTTGTATGATTGGTTCGGTATAGCAACATGTGTTCTATCTATCTGCTGATATCCCGAGTGTCTCGGGTGATTAGGCATCCACTCTCCAAGACCTACCCTGGCCAACGGCAGCGTGACACCGACAATCGAACAAAGGACCGCGTCAAGAAGGCAATGGTATGTGGTTCGGCGGCAATGGTTGATCGAGTACGGCGCGTCGGCCGACATGTCGACGTCAATGGTGACTAAAGGCCTGCCTACCGATTGAATTCGGGATGATCAGGTGCAGGAGATGCCGTGCCCGAATCTGCCTATCGCGCAGGTGTTCGGGGTGTTGTGCTCCGGTCAAATTCAATTACTGCGACCTCACTGCGAAGTCAGAAGCACCCATAAGCCGTGACCAAGATAGGGGAAACTAGAGGGGAATACACCCAGGTGTGGCAAGCCCGTTCGCTGCGAGCCAAGGATCAAGACCACCCGAGCGTGCTCCAAGGAGGTCCAGCCTGCACCTGAGTACCAAGCACCCCCCCATCGGCGGTAGAGATCGCGCCCGGAAGACACGCGCAGACGAGCTGAGGCGTACCGAGATGGTGAGACCGAGCCGGCGGGTGTGCTACGAGATGGGAGGTGCAAGATGCGAGATGCGGACGCGAGCGCAATCACTGCGAGCCTGATCACGCCCTGATCCCCCCCGACAAATCCCATTGCATCCTCCGAGGGCGGTGGGAGGTGTATCTCGGGCATGGCTGTGCTAATGCGGGCTAGCGATATTGCGTGCGCCCGAAGCTGGGCTAGGCCCCCCCGGCCGGCGCACTCCCGCGCCAACATACGGTAAGTAGTGCATGTTCGTGACATGTGGTTGGCCACAGATGGTATGCGAAGCCGTCCCCTCCGACTCCGAAATGAGATTAATCTCAGCAGCGAGAGAATATTCTGCGGACAAACCCCAGCAGCTGGCGCGGGGCCTCTTCCCCTGGATGCCGTCACCAGGACGTCTCGCGCCCGCCTCGTGTGCGGGCGGGCAGGGACAGACGAGAGTTACGTCCGGGGGCTGTGCTCGCACGCCTTTTCCGCGAGGTCGCTGGCTGCTCGCCCGTCGTGGGCGCAGCACAAAGCAGCCACGTATGTTTACGGGACTGCGACGAGCGCCGCCAAGCGTTCTTCACGACTTCACCGGTCGCCGCTGTGCCACACCGCTGCGGAGGCGCAGAAGGGTTTGTTTGTGGTGTGGACGCGGGACGTGCGTTTCAAATACCGCACGGTGGGTTGTTGTTGCCAGGCGGCGTCGCTGGTCGGTGCTCCATGTTGAACGGAGCGTCTCGATATCTCGCTTACGTCCCCGGCATCCTGTGCGCTCGAGGGAGGGCGGTGAGCTCGCAGTGGTGCGGCCGTTGAGACTTGCCAGGTTCGCCGCCATGAGGGCCATATTTCCTGATTGTCCGGTCGGGTCCAATGCCTGGCTGCGCGGTCCCGCGCGGGTATCCATGAAAGTCGGTCGCGGTCATATTCGCGTAATAGCGGCGGGCACTACACGAAAGGCTGAACCGGGAGGTATTCATAGATCAGGACATGTCAGTCACCCCGGGCACTAGACGAATCCTTCCTTTCCTGCGCCCCGTTCTGATAATCACTGTGCCCGTACCGCACGCCTTCGCCTGCTCCCACCGAAACCAGCGTCCGCTTGCACATCCTCAAGACAACGAACACGGACGCGAGCGCGGTATTTCGGGGGCCTGCGCTGGGGGCTGACGTATCCGTGCGACGCACGCACCCTCACGACGCAACCTGCCCCCCCCCCCCGGCCCGCACAAGCCCCAGCCGCCGCGCTCGGAGTGCAGCAGCACCATCTATACACACACAGTGGCGTCGTCGGACGTGGGCGATCGACGCACGGACACCGATCGCAACGAGCGCACGGGCGGCTCCGGGCTGCCAGTGCTATGCGGGCGTGGGCGCCGTGCTAGCCGTTGTGGGGAAGTCCTTCCCGGGCCCGCACGCACGTCGAAGGGAGGGGATGGGGGGGGGGGAGCGATCGCGATCGCTGCACGGATGGGGCTGCTGCGAAGCCGCGGAAGCCCCAGGACCTCGCCACGAGCGCGTGCTTAGCGTGTGCATGTGCAGGCATATATGTCAGAATGTCGCGACGCACGGACGCTGTACAGCGGTCCGCACGAGTCGAGTGTACGCTCATGGATGCGCGGGCGGGCGCTAGAGTGCTGGGAGGAGGGGAAGGGTCTGTGGGGCTGAGGATGCGAGATCTGATCGCGCAGCGTGGGGGCTCTGCATCTGCGGAGGCTTGCGCATGAATGGAGGCGGACGGATGCATGCGTGTGTGAGGGCGAAGGTGGTTTATTTGCAGAATGCAGCGCTTGAGAGGCGGAAATGGGGAGTGTCTGTAGCATGTTTGAGTGGAATACGGAAGGGGTGGACCCGGGGGGCGCTAGAGGAGAGAGTAAGACGATGGACTCCGGGACCGTCGCACCGAGGGTGTGAGTGTGTTGGAGGAGGGCGTACGCGTTGCGCGTAAGAGAAGGCGGCCACACAGCTTCACGTGCGCTCCGACGTCCAGCGTGGCCGCGTCTCGTGCGCCAAGGTTGCAGCTGGGCTCGACTGGATCGAAGGGAAGCAGCCTTGCGAGCGCCTTGCGATCTCCCCCAGTGCGAGTCGCGATCGTGTGTGACGACGTGCGGGCGCTCTCTGGCGCCGCGCGAGAATGCGCGAAGGACGAGAACGAGGGCCGCACCAGTCACACGCACGCAGCATAGCACGTACTACGACCAGCAGCATAGGGGCCACGCGCGCGAGCTGCGAAGGCCTCCGATCTGCCTGCAGCCGTCTTCTGCGTTCTCCACTAGCGCGCAGCGAGAGTTCTTCTCTTCTTTCCGACTCCAGGTACCCAGACCGCCGCGGGCCAACCTCTCGCCAGCACTACCACCGGAATGTCGTCAGCGAACTTGCCCGGCTGCGTACCTGGCAGGGATTTGCACGGTGACCTTACGTTGCGCGCCGACCGAACATGGGCATCCTGGCCCCCCTTGCGTGCGGGGGGGGGCCAGAGCGGGCGAGACGCGGCGAAGGGTGGTTCGAGCCTCCGTCGGGGTGGTGACGAGGCAGGTTCGCAGACAGCCTTCCGGGATGGAGCCGCGAGTGAGAAAAAGAGTGTATTGCGCGACACGGCGTATACGGATGTAGAAAGGGAGCGCAAACGCCAGACGATCATGAATCACCGTGCGCGGGCGTTGAGACTCTGTCGGGCACTCTACGTCCGAGGACACGAACGCTTTCGCAGTCGCGCGACGGCAGCATAGTCCGAGGCGCGGGACTGGAGGGCTCCAGGACGGGCGCTGGACAGCAACGCGAAGGTCGTCGAAA